TATATATGTTATTCTCATTTTTTTTGTCTAATTCCATTGTTTCCTCCTTGCCTCTAATTTCCATATTTCAAAATTTGCTTTTACTTTAATTATTTCCATCCATTATTTAATTTCCTAAAAATAAGTATTATAAGATACTTACCGTTAATACGTGTTATTAATATCTCGATAGGGGATATCAACAATGACTTATAAAAGGAATCCCTCTCACACGGAGACGGCCATTCTCTAAAAATGTGAAATTTGACTCACTGGTAGATACAACACTTCGGTATTTATAATATTCTCTTGATAGAGAGATTTGGAACCTCATACAGTAGGAATCCCTCTCACAAGGAGAAGGACATTCTCTATAAATAGGAAACTTTGTCTCACTGAGAGAACAACAGTTCGATATTTATAATATTATTTTGATAGCCAGATTTCTAACCTCATATAATAGGAATCCCTCTCACGAGGAGAAGGGCATTCTCTAAATAGGAAACTTTGTCTCACTGAGAGTACAACAGTTCGATATATACGATATTCTTATTGCTTTCTCCCTTTATCTACTTCCATTGTCTCCTCCTTGCCTCTAATTTCCACATTTAGAGATTTGCTTCCACTTCAATTACTTCCCTCCATTATTTAATTACCTGAAAATAAATATTATAAGATACTTACCTGTGATACCTGTAATTTATCTCTCGACAGAGGGATATCAATATTGACTTATAAAAGGCATCTCTCTCATATGGGCATCCTCTAAAATTACGAAATTTGACTCACTCGGAGATACAACACTTTGGCATTTATAAAATTCTCTTGATTGCGAGATATAGAACCTTATATAATAGAAGAATCCCTATATAATATAATAGAATCCCTCTCACAAGGAGAAGGGCATTCCTTATACGTATGAACTTAGTCCCACTGAGAGTACAACAGTCCGATATATATGATATTCTTATTGTTTTCTTCTTTTATCTAATTCCAATATTCCGTTATTTACGTCCACTTCGTTTTTCTCTAAAAATAAATATTATACAATACTTACATATTGTTCCTTGTGTTCTACCTAGCTGTAGAACACCGTATATTACAAAGTAATATTCAAAATAAGTAGAGAATAAACAAAATGGATTCATCGATATAACGACGAAGAAATCAGAGAACTGCGATCCGCACTGCACCGTGCACGAAAGACGAATGAATATCGACCGCCGCGCCAGGGCCGGCACCGCTACCTAGACTAGCGACGGGAGGGGATTTAGCTTATAGCTTTAAAATTGTGCACGCAGGGACGTTACTACGTATATGAAAAATCAAGATAATACATTCGGACTGGACGCGAATATAATAATTGAACGAGCAATTTATGCTTATTGCGAGTTGAATACTATACTTTGTCCACCGCCATTATAATAATTATGAGGAGTGTTTGAATTTGTATTTTTAATGTTAATCTTACTATTAATTATTGTATTCATGTTTTAGGGGAAAATGTCACTACCTACTTAAAATTTGGCAATTTAGCCAATAATAGCGTTTAATAATACAAACGTCAAAATTAACTAAAAGATAATAAAAACGTCAATATCATCAATTCTATGTAGAGAGTCGCAGTCATCTCGAACTATTCTATTTTCAAATATTTGGGGAGTTTATTATTAGATGTGTTTTACGACATACCTGTATATTAGTTTTTTTTACCACCTTTAGTAAAATAAATTTGTTGAAAAATGATAGATCGTACGTTGGTGGTTTTTGTTGTTTTGTGTAACTAACGTTGGTAATTTGTGTTTTATTTATCGTTATAGATGTATTTAAATTTTATTGATGATGCTTCAAGTTTTTTGCAATAAAACATACTTCTACCACCTTTAGTAAAATAAATTTGTTGAAAAA